TTCATTTATTATAAAAATGGAATTTTTCCGGGTCTCTGGTAACAGGATGTTACAATTAGATTTATTCATAAAATATTTATATATATTTATAAATGTAAAAATTCTTAATTATTTAGTATAGTATTAGGACCTTCTAATTATATTAACCAACCTTAAAATATATTTTTCATTTAAAATAAATTTGTTTATGACTTTATATAAAATTATTTTTTTATTAAAATTTGTCAATATAAAATAATATAGCAAAATTCGTTATACTGTAATAGGTATCTCATATTATGAAATTGATTTATAATTGATCAAATTCATAATATAATATAGTAAAAATTTTTTAATTAAAAAGGTTAAATCTGTTTCTAGTAATTTAAATTTCATAATTTAGTTCACTTGAAGCCTATATCTGATAGTATTAATTTGACAATTTTTTGACCAATAAGTCATATTTTAATAATCCTTTATACTAAATTTCATTTTAAGATTTATAGGTAACATCATTTTTTTTACATAATAATAGATAATTTTTTCATCTCCTTTAGATAATTAATCTTTAACATTATTAGAAAATTAATTCAAATTTGCTTATAAATGCTACCTCAAAAATTGACTTTAAATTTGCTTAAAAATTCTTATGATACATACTGTATAATTAAAAATTTATCAATTTTTAAAGTTATTTCTACTTGTTATAATCCAATTTTAATGAATTTTAGCTTATTTTAAAGTTTTCTTAGAGTATTTTATAACCATTTAAATTATATAATTGCTAGAATTTGTAGCTTAAATAATTTGATTTTGAATACTTATAAATAATGCTATTTTTTTACATATTAATATACAATTTTCTCACTTTCTTTAGTTTCTTTAGATTTTCAGATAGTAAAATTTAGTGTTTAACATTATTAATTTTTAGACAGTTTTTTTTTTGTTTCAATTCTGATATTCATACCTACTTGAGTTTCTTTCATAATGAATTTCAAAATAATTGCTTTTGGTATTTCACAAAATTTTCTGGATCTAGTGATTGGTTTTAACAAATCTAACTTGTTTAAAAATTAAAAACTTACTGCATTTGCTTGTTAAAATTGATAAAAATTAGTCCAGTAGAGGTTGAGATATTCACATTCAAAGTTCATCACAGCAAATTAAAACTTACATTTTTGTTTTTTTTTTTACAAACTTTCAAAGCTTTTCAGTTTTTTGTAATCCAATTTTGATGTTAAACATAATGATAATTAATAATTTTTTTATACTTTTAGATGAATTATCATGTCTTTTTTGTAATTAACCTTTACCTAATCCTTTACCAAAAACTTATTTGAATATTTAAAAGTAATGCAAAAAAAAGTAAATTTCATATTTATTTTATTTCTATAATAATAATATTGATTATTTGATTTCTTTAGAAAGATATTAGAAGTCAATTGTATAGAGTTTTATTTTATACATTATGCAGAAACCAAAATTATTCCATTGGGTATAAAGGCAGATTATCCTACAAATATCACTTTTGAAATTTTATCAAACCTGGTTAGTAATATTTAAGATGATTTGTTAGACATTATTAATTGTAAATTTGTAAGTTGGTTTCGCGATTTGTCATTATCTGTTTATAATGAAATTGGATTTTGAAAAGAAAATACACCGATGATGATAATGAAAAGAAGTGAAGAATTAAAAGAATTAATTTATAAATATCTTTTTTTTATAATATGTTTTAATGGTTCTAAAGGTGAAATAATCATCGCAGAGTTTTGTCAAATTTGTTTTTAAAAACAAATGTTTTAACATTCGAAATGAGCAAATCTCTAAAGCCAATTGATTATTTACATGAATATTAATTCCAGAGGTAATTATTAGACTAATAGTTAAGATTTTAATGGAAAATTATCATTAGAAAAAGTGAAATTATGAAAGACACTGAAACTGCTGCGGTGAAAACATAAAACAATTTTTGCAAACTTAAGTTTCGTATAATTAGTTAATCTTTATATACATATGCACCAAAATCTGGTTTATGTCAAATTCTCACTAATTCAAAGGAACATCTGGAATGTCAATTAAGGCCATCTATAAATGGAATGGATGAGAGTATGAGAACAAACATACAACCCTTTTAGATGGTCACGCAATATTAAGTAAATTATCGATTTGTTCTTAATACAAATTCTAACCAACCATTACGATAATTACAGTAGACCTTTACGAATGGCTTGCTTCCTTTGAACGAGCAGCCACAGCTAATCAATGGAATAATAGTAGAAAAATAGCTATTGCTGCAGGATATTTAAGAGATGCTGCTGCCAAATGGTATGATGAAAATCAACTTAACTTTCAAAATTGAAATCTAGTATACATTTATGTTTTGTGACACAAAATTACCACGCGTCTTGTTATAAAATGTATAAAGATATCAAATGACAACATTTCCAAGTGAAGTTTATTAAGAGAGAGAGAGAGAGAAAAAAAAAAAAAAAAAAAAAAAAAAAGAATAAAAAGATTAAGATATTATTTTATATATTGTCCTTAATAACTGGTCTATTATCAAAGGTACTAATTTCTAATCATAAAAGATTTTGGTAATATTGTGTGTATACAGTAGTTCTCGCTAACAAAATATCTCAACAATTATAAGATATTTTTTTCTCTATCCCACTTTCTCTAATAACCACCAGCACCAGGAGCATTTTCATCTTTTTTCAAACTCAAAAGCATCTCTTTGAATCTGCTCACATCCTTGGTGTGTTTATTAGTTGTCTTACTTTGAGCAGTTGAAAGATCGACCTGTTTACAGATACGCTGCCAAGATGTACCAGAAGTAAGATCATCTCTTTCACGCAAGAACTCTTCCTCATCTTGCCTTATAAATTTAAACTACATATTAAACAAAACCTTTCACAATTTAAATAAAATCAGCATAAAATAAAATAATATTACTTGTTTTGTTCATGTGTACGACCCTTCTTTTCATTATATTCTTCGTAAAATTTGTCGATTGCATCACGTGCAATAGACAGTGTTTCTCGCTTTTTTGCTTCGGATGTTTCGTCGCGCTGGGCAATAATCTCCCTTTGTTGCTCTCTCCATTGTCTATTTATCATTTAAATAATTTATTATAGGATGTGAAATAAACATCAAAGTAATAATTACTATTAAATGTACCGAATAATTTCTGGTTCTTCCTCTTCAATATTATCCGATGATAATGAAAGTGGAATATCGCCATTGCTATTGTTGTACAATACCTACAGGGAAAATATATTAATTTATGAAAAATTCCATGTAACAATTCTTAACTGGTAAGTAAATGATTATAAAATAAAATAATCTATAATATAAATTCATCACAACTTACAAATCCTCACCTGAGTACTACTCTCGATCTCTACTGGTGGGAACTCTGAATGAAAAGCGTCATAATCAGAAACTGAATTAACATTAGAGGAGTTGCTGACAGGAGGATTCAATGCGTTGCTTGTCGATGTTGAGGTAATATCGGGGAATCCTTCAAGTTCATTGCTTGTTGTAGATATAATAGTATGATTGGTAGTGTTTGAGAATAAAGCTGCATCCTCGCCTAGGACCGCTTGTTCTCTTGCTAAAAAGTCAGCAGTGGGGTCAGATTCCAAGTTTGTATTTGAAGAAGGGGGAAAATCTTCGAGAGGTGGGAAATCTGAGTCGAAATTCGACATTGTATAACTGAAAGTTTTAAAATAATAAAAAAAAAAAAGATAGCTTGTTAAAGGTAAAGCCCGGATAAAGTTCTTACGATCTTATATAATGTAGAAATGCTCGTGGAAATTGACGTGATAAAATTCAGCAATGTTAAAGTTCTATTGTGTGAACTTTCCTAAATCCACTTGGTTTAATTCAATAATAAGTGAGTTTTGAGAAGTTCGCAAGCTCGAATGACTGCGATTCATAATAAAACTTACCCAATTGCAATTGTGGCAGAATATCAATCTTATTGTAAATTAAAAAATTCATAAAAAAAAGCTGTTGAATTTCATTAAAAATAACGCCCAATTAGATTCACGGAGTACAAAACCCTATTACGTATTTTATCTGCTATCGCTTTTACTCAAAAAAAAATCTAAATACAATTCAAAATGGTTCTTGAGGCTACCTTGCTAGTGTAAGTTTATTGCCCATTAAATTACCTACAAGTTGCACCTTATTTTAACACTGGAACTAAGTGTTTTTTTTTTTTTTTTTTTTTTTTTTGGTAGTTTGGATAATTCGGAATGGATGCGTAATGGTGACTATACACCAACACGTTTAGAAGCACAAAAAGATGCAGTTAATCTCATTTTTGGATCAAAAACAAATTCTAATCCGGAGAATACTGTAGGCCTACTTACCATGGCCGGTAAAGGGTATGTGCAAGTAGAACAGTTTTGTTTTTAAACAAACGAAATAAATTGATAAAAAGTTATTCTGTTCAATAGTCCCGAAGTACACGTTACTTTAACATCAGATATAGGTAAAATTCTTACTGCATTACATAACATAAAAATTGGTGGAAAAGCAAATTTGACGACTGGAATACAAATTGCGCAGGTGATATTTTGTTATTTAAAATTGACGAGATTTAATAACGTTTAATCTAACAAGATATAAATTTCCTTCAAAGCTTGCTCTCAAACACAGGCAGAACAAGAATCAACGACAAAGAATTGTAGTATTTGTAGGTAGTCCTATCGAAACCGATGAGAAAACTTTGGTAAAATTAGCTAAAAAGATGAAAAAGAATAGTGTAGCTGTGGATATCATCAATTTTGGAGAGGAAGCTGAAAATACTGCGAAATTAGAAGCTTTTATATCAGCAGTGAATAGCGGAGATAACAGGCAAATTTTCTGGTTTTTATAATATGTGTACCTATAATTTAACTTATAGTTATTAATTTCACCTATTTTAATATATTTAGTCATCTTGTATCAATACCACCTGGTCCGCATATTCTTAGTGAAATCTTAATATCATCCCCCATAATAGCAGGCGAAGATGGTGTTCCTGCTGGATTTGCAGCTGGTGGTGGGGGCAACTTTGAGTTTGGAGTTGACCCTTACCTTGAACCTGAATTGGCGTTGGTAATGCTCGCGTTCGATACCAAAATTTTATCAAATATTTATTTTTTTTTATTTTTCATTAATCGCGGTAGTTTATTTACTATAACATTTTAGGCTTTACGTATTTCACTTGATGAAGAAAAGGCAAGACAGGAGGCAGAAGCAGCTAAAGCTGCAGGTTCTGCAAATGCCGCTCAAGAAACACAACCAACTTCAATGGATGTTGATAAAGCTGTTGGGGGAGGCGATCATCAAAATGATAAAACTGAAGAAGACATGCTGGCTCAAGCACTAGCTATGTCTTCTACGGGCGACTCTCGTGTATGTATTATGAACTAAGACATCTTTTTGTTTTTAAAAATCTAATCATTATTTGTTTATAAGGAAGGAGATGTTCAAATGGAAGAGCTTACCGAAGACGAGCAATTCGCTCGAGCGATTCAAATGTCAATGGAAGGAAATTCCGTAAGAAAAATAAATGTTATAGTATTATTTTCTTTTTTTTACTATTTTTTAAGTAGATTTATTTATCAAAATTTTGTATTATTCTTAGGGAATTCATAATCAAGAATTTATGAATGCGGTTCTTCAATCTCTTCCAGGAGTAGATTTATCTGATCCACAGATTCAAAATGCTCTCCAAGGGGTTTCCGGAGATAATGGAGATAATGAAAATAATAAGGATAATAATAAAAAGGATGACGAGAAGAAAAAATAAAAAATAATTTAAGAAAAATTATGTTCTATTAAAGAAGTTATAATTTTAATGGTTTTATTTTTTTTTGCAATAATTAGATAGTAAAAGGTTTATACAAATAAATGGTTTTAATTATAAATTGAATGAAAATTATGCAATGCATAATTCAAAGCATATTTGAAATAAGAAAACAATTATATTTATTTATTAAAAGATTATTTGTTATTTTAACTTTATAATATTAATATGATTCAATAATTATTTTAATATTTAAATCATTAATATATAATATAAAATATATTATAATTATCATTTATATAATTAAATAAACTTTAATATTTATTAATTATTAATAATGAAAGTTTAAATATAATAAAAAAATTATTTAATTATTTTAAATTTATTTATAGAATAAATTTAAATCATGCATTATGTATTTAATATATCTATACTTAATATATATATCATATTAAAATCAAGATTAATTTTAGTTAATAAAGGATTCAGATAATTTATTATGTTAAAATTTGCAGAAACTGATAAATTGAACAAAATTAATAGAATTGATAAAACTGATATAGTATTATTATTATTTTTATGAGTATATAAATACCTTAAAAAAAACAGATCGAAATATTGAATACAATTTACATTTAATAATAATAATAAATAAAGATATAGTTAACTCTTAATATAGCGAACTCTTAATATAATGAATTTTTTGAATAAATATAATAAAATACTCTTATTATAGCGAATTAGCCAATTAAATCTCTTAAAATCTTCATTAAAGCCTTATAGCAAAGTTGAGGTCTAAGACATAGAGTTCATTATAACAAGAGTTAACTGTATTATTTATAAATATAAAATTATATTTAATTTTATTCTTATTAACTAAATGAACTTTTTAATTAATATTGTATCAAGATGATTAGATTTAAGTTATAATTATTGTTTTCTTAATTTCAAATCATAGTTAATTTATTTAATAGACAAAATAACATTAACAATATTATTATTAGATTCATTTTTAGTTATCTTAATATTTAAGTCAAAGGGTTATAACAATTAATTTTATTCATTAAAGTTTACACCTTCAGAAAATTTTTTAAGTCTTATAGGTATCTATTATATTTAAATCATTTTAGCAATTTATCACATTTTAGAATTTAAAATTTATTTAGTGATAAACTTAATAGTAAGTTAGTATAAAGTATTATAATAAATCTTAGATTGTTAAAGAAAAAAGTAATTTATTTAGATTTAAATTAATTTCTTTATTAAACTTAAAACTCATAATAAAGTTATAAAAATTTAAAAACATAAAAAGTTAATTTATAATTTAAGTAAAAAGCTATTCTATTTATACAAAATTAATTTGCTACAGCTAACTATTTTGTTATATTATAAACTAATTATATTTATAAACTTTAGCTATAATATAATAATAAAATAAAATAAAACGTAAATATAAAATATAAGATAAATAATAAAAATAATAAAAACATTTAAAAATAAAAAATTATTTATTATTATAAGTATAATAAAAATTCACAATATCAGAAATATTAGATGAATTTAATTAATTAAATAAATTATGCAAATTCTTAATATTTTTAATTTTTCTGATGTAGTATTTTATTGATAATTACCATATATCATTATCTGATAATTTTTAATAATATTTTCAGTATTTATAATGATATTTATTTTTAATACTAATATCTTTTTATCCTTTTTTATCCTTTCCTATTCAATA